CAAAAAACTATCTGTCATTATGAACTTTCATTATTATTTGACAAAACACCATGAATTACAGATATATATATGTTATATTCAGATGCTTATTATAGGTGTAACAAAGGGTCTGATGATAATTTGGTAAAAGGTTTGTGATGTGTCTGCATTGACAGTACATAGAAATTTTGATTTTGTTGATAAATGATGAGATTCTTTTACAACCTTCCGTGCCCTCATAATAGTAATAGCAAGGTACCATTCAATTAAAGATATATTATGCTCAAGTTTGATAATTCCAAATATTGATGATTGCTATACAGTCTCTATGTCATTATAAAATGAACATGTTTTAAGTGCTCTCAGTGTAGAGACTTGAGAATATATCTTTGAATGTTACTTCAGAGCAAGAGTGATGTTAAACCATGTTTTTTTACTTTTTTAAGGCCCGGGGATGGTTATCCTAGTTTAATAGGAAGTCCCGAGGATAGCGTAACACGGCGACAACAGAGAGGTCGAGACTCTATGGATGATCCTGATAAGGTAAAAATTTGTATAAATTCTTTTATTTAGTGAAACTTTTCATGTTTGTAATTAATGGATTGTATGAGACGTCATGAGTTGAAACCACACTCAAGCAACTGTTTTGTTAGGGAATGTTTTATTCTGTTTAGTCATTATGATTTATGTGTGTTTAAACTCAAGAGACAATTTTATGAAAAACTTTCACGAGATACAAGCTTAAGGATATGAAGACAACAGGACTTTCTTAATTTGTTTTTTAAAGTGCATAAGTAACTCTGCCTTGCCTAATTTTGGACTTTTTGCCTTTTGTTCTTTTTGACACTTTGTCCGTGACTTAACTCTGAAACTACAAGAGTTATCAACAAAAACATTGTAGGTAGATAGATCTCATTATGTACAAGAACGGAAACTCTGCCATTCCTAATTGGAGTTATTGCCCTTTTTAATTCTGTACAGGTGAACACACTGAATGAGCAAGAGTGGGAAAAACTTCAGCAAGCTAACGTTTTAGCAAATGTGCAACACGCGTTTGAATCCAGTGATACGGAAGGCTCGGACGGAAATGATAGCCTTATTGGTGCTTTTGATATGCTATCACCATCTGGACATACAGACGCACAGACACTGGCCATCATGTTACAGGAACAGCTTGATGCTATCAATAATGAGATTCGGTGAGTAGTTTCTGCTTTGTTGGCCTTATTACAATTGATGGTTTTTCATACATTATTACTACTGTGCTTTATAGGGGATTTAACATATAAGGGATCCGAATTTTTCAAGTTTTAGATATTTCTACTTAAAGACACTTTCCCTCATCTAATTACTTTAACATAATTTGCAAATTCAATGGAAAAAAATGTATGTTCTATATAAAACATTCAGGCAAAAGTGTTTCTCAGAAGTTGTATTAAATGAAATCATTTGATAGAGGATATTGAATGAGTGTAGTTTAATACTAAATTTATTGAACTCGTTGAATAAAATCACATTATGCGAGCCTCTGGCGAGCATAATATTGTTTTATTCAACGAGTTCAATAAATTTAGTATTGAATCTACACGAATATAATATTCTATTTATCACATAATATAAAATAAGAACAATAAACTGTAAAAATGAGTAATTTTTCAACGACGTGCCTATAGTGTAACGCTAACATTAGCGCGCTTTAACGCTATGTTTCTATATAGCGCAAATGACGTCACGTCAAAGTGATATTACACTAGTTTATTTAATGCTTTCCAGTGTTTTATTACAATATATCAGATGATTATATTCTGATAAACCACTAGTGAAATTTATAAAATATAATTTTCACTGTAGCCGGACTATATCTGAATGCGGATGAAAAGAAAATCATAACCAAATGGAATAACAGGCAGAAATAAATGCCGTCATACGTAAATTTGCTTAATTAGGAAAAGAAAGTCAATGTCATCATACATCATGTTAAAAATTTAACAAAATTACAGAAATTTAACAGAACTATATTTCAAAACTTATGATGTGACGTCATGCTATCATGACGTCACAAAGGAGAATGCGCGACGTTACGCGGCAAATTCAGTAAAAAAATACTTAAAATCACTTAAAAAGCATAAAATAAAAAGAAAATTTATTTGTTTTACATATAAGATTGAAATATATTTCATTCGTGAACACCAGCTATTATATTTTCACTCGTGGCTACGCCACTCGTGAAAATATTGCATCTGGTGTTCACTCAGTGAAATAATATTTCAATCTTACATGCAAAACAAACAAATATCCTCTATATAATATCGTTTTTATTAAATGGCTTTATTACACTCCTGCGCCGCGGTTTATGTGATAAAGTAAGATATTAAATGGATTTGGATAGGAAAAATAGGGGTCTTCTGGAAACTATATTACATAGCTTCAAAGATATACTATGCTCAAATTTGATATAAGAAGAGATTGATAATTGCTACACAGTCTCTTTGTAAATATAAATCTCTTTGTAAATATAAATTAAAAATGTTTTGACTTCACACAAAGTAGATATGTTATGTTTAAAATTCTACACACTATAGGTGGTCACAATATGAAAATATAGCGTTGGCATTTTTTTTATGAAAAGACCAACTTTACTTGACCTGTAACAGGGAACACAGCCTCACATACATAGTTTATTCATCTATTATTCAAATTAGACATATTCGGTAAGAATTTCAATAAATTGATAAAAATATTTTACTCAAGGTCGGGCATAGTACATCTTTAACATGTGATGTATGCAGCACTGAGACATGTTTTTTCTATAAGAGATTTGAATTGTTTTGTTATGTTACAGTTTAATCCAGGAGGAGAAAGAATCTACTGAACAGCGAGCCGAGGAACTTGAAAGCAGGGTAGGAAGTGGTAGCCTAGAAGCTCTGTCCAGCAGATGGCTGTCCGATAGGTCCCCCACCCAGTCCGGTCCCACGTCCCCAACCTCTCACTTTGCCCAGCACACAGCACGCACATCCGAGCACATTTCGCTTCTCAACGCTAGTTCTACTGTAAGTGTAGGCTTGAGTGTACCCCACCCACTCCCCCCCACGTTCTCTTATTCTTTTGTGTGTGTGGAAAAGAAAACTATGCAAGAAAAATTACCTCCCTTTACATAGCTTGGTTGTAATGTATCCTCCCTCCATGGTATTTTGTTATAAAGTGTCATATAATGTCATTATTGCATGAAGCAATATGAAAACATAGGTACTATTAATGCATAACGGAATATCACCAATAACATATAGAATCTACAAAGACTTGTGTAGAGATATTCGCAAGCAATGATATTTATGTCCGCTTAATATGTCAAAGTTAAAGCTTTTGGTATGGCTTGACAGTTTTATTAAACAGAAAAGCTTACTAATCGTTTCAGACTACTAAAAATACTTAAAACACAAGTATTTTCATGTTGTCATGTGCTCATGTGCTCAGTATAATATAATCACAGATAATGGTCTGTTTGCCTCTTGTGTAAAAGTTGAAGTATATATATTGTTGTTAGGTGGGCGTTTGACTTGGCACAACTGTGGTTGTTCATTGAAAGTTTAATTCTGTATTGAAAGTATTTCAATTTTGTAGTGATTTGTTGTGTCCTATTTCTATACTTTGATATAAATTATGTCCAAGGACATAACCACTGGTCATAGCTACCATCAAATCAATTAAGTGAATATGTACCATTATATCAGTTAAGATTATGTACATTTACCATCAAATCTATTTAGAGAAAAGCTATCATCAATTCAAGGGAATATCTACCTTCAAATCAATGAAGAGAATAATTACCAGAAAATCAATTAATGGAATAGTTATCATAAAAATAATTAAGGGAATAGCTACCATAAAATCAATTAAGAGAATGTCTATCTTCAAATCAAATTAGGGAATAGCTACCATCAAACCAATTAAGGGAATATATACCTTATAATCAATTAAGGGAATAGCTACCATAAAAAACAATTAAGGGAATAGCTTCCATCAGATCAATTAAGGGAATAGCTTCCATCAATTCAGTTGAGGGGAAAGCTACCATCAAATCAATGAAGGGAATAGCTTCCATCAAATCAATCAAGTGAATAGCTACCATCAAATCAATTTAAGTTGTAGCTACCATTAAATCAGTTAGTTATAACTATTATCAAGTCAATTTAAGTTATTACTGCCATTAACTGCCATAAATACAATTTAGGGAATATTGCCATCACTTCAATTAAGCCATTAAAGATGTACTAACAATTGACTTGAGCTGGTTGAGCATAAAATTGCATATGGTTAACGGAGATCCCCTATTTCATATGTTTTGTGAACGTTTTTAACTTTTTATTTGTAACCCGAATATGATTTAGAGCACAACTTTGTTAATAAGCCCGAACACTACCATGGTAAACCTCTGAAAACAAAAAGGAAATTGAATTGAAATAAGTTGACATGATTTACCACTTTTGTTGCTGTTTGTAAATAGACCTTAACTATAAAGGACAAATATGTGCTCCTAATATTTTCCATCCACCTTTCAAATTGATAAAGGCAATTTACAAAAATCCAATTGACAATCGTTAAAGAATAAGAAAATAGGTGTAGCTACAAAAAAAATGTGTGGGCTAGGCCATATATAGAACAGGAGGCTATTAATAGAGACAAATGCTATAAATAGACAGAATGGCTATAAATAGAGGTTGTAAGTATACAGCTTAAAGCTTGTTGATGTATTCAAGACAGTCATCTGCTGGTGTGTGCCTTTGTGTATGTATTTGTATATTTGTGGCATGTTTTTATCTGTGAAATTTGTGTGACAAAATAATAATAGGGTTGACCGCAAGACTGTTGTACGTCCTCATTTATTTCATATAAGTTACTGCAGTTTTGCAGTAAACCCTAGATAAATATCTAAATATTTAAAGTGACATTATCCTGGTTCACGTGTAAATGATGGGTGTACAGGTCAATGTTGAAATAACTGTAGATTTTGCCATATTATAATTGAGCTGCGTCATGACAAAACCAACATAATGGGTTTGCGAATAGCATGGATCCAGACCAGCCTGCACATCCACGCAGTCTGATCAGGATCCATGCTGTTCGCTATCAGTTTCTCTACTTGTTAGAGGGTTTGTAAGCGAACAGCATGGATCCTGATCAGACTGCGCGGATGCGCAGGCTGGTCTGGATCCATGCTGGTCGCAAACCCGTTATGTTGGTTTTGTCATGACACGGCTCTTATGTTGTTTATGTGTATAATCAATAACTTATGTGACTCGCAGAAAATTTTATACATTTTCTTTGGAATGTATCATTAATGTTCCATTGATAAAAAGAGTGGGGCAAAGTTTATTATTTTTAGACAGTTGTTATATTTTAGCCCAAACATTTTTCATTATCAGTTATTAGTAAATGACCATTGTAATAGTTTATCTTTATAAATATCTAGCTAATGAGCTTAACTTGATAACCCAAAAATGAGCATAATGTCACTATAAATATTTACCTTACGTTTTATTGGAGAACCATATATATAGACATAATTGAGACGTGTCATGACAAAACCAACGTAATGAGTTTGCGACCAGCATGGAACCAGACCAGCCTGCGCATCCGCGCAGTCTGATCAGGATCCATGCTGTTCGCTATCACTTTCTCTACTTGTTATAGGGTTTGTAAGCAAACAGCATGGATCCTGATCAGACTGCGTGGATGCGCAGGCTGGTCTGGTTCCATGCTGCTCGCAAACTCATTACGTTGGTTTTGTCGTGACGCGGCTCATATGTATGATTATGTTTAGTATTTGATGTAAATCTTTGTGCAAACATTTATTCTTGTCAAATACAAGATTCATTTATCTCACTTTATAAGTGGTAAATCTCATTTTTTTATGGACTCAGCATAGCATTTATAGATCACATACATGTACATGTTTTATTTACTATGAGTGATTATATGATTTGTAAAGGTTATACTGCTCTATGAAAAAGAAAGACAAACTTCATACATAAATACATGTACATTAAAAAAAACAATTCGATTTTTTCAATATAATAACTTACTGCCATAAATTTTCATTTGCACTGTTTCATGAGTGATAAGGTAACTTTGAAAAATAGTTCATATTGAAATATATGTTTAGAGTAGGACGTTTTTTTTTTACAAATTTTCATAATAGTGTACTAAAACATTAATATCATTTTAAAACTGGAAAAGCTACCTGTTATCATTTAAAGAGAAATGTTATTACAGCTCTTGCTTATTTGCTTATTTTTCACATGACAGGAAAATCACCTCACCCTTTACAGAGATGGTGTAATATAAAATTCCAGTGCAGGAAAAAATAAATTTTTGGTTGATTCAAATTTGATCCATTACAAAACTGGGCTGAAACATGTTACTTTTGTAATTGTAATCATAAATGCTAACAGGTAGTTTTAAGTCATAGAATATAATTGAGCCACGTCACGACAAAACCAACATAATGGGTTTGTGACCAGCATGGATCCAGACCAGCCTGCGCATCTGAGCAGTCTGATCAGGATCCATGCTGTTCGCTTAGAAACCCTATAACAAGTAGAGAAACTGATAGTGAAGATCATGGATCCTGATCAGACTGCGCAGATGCGCAGGCTGGTCTGGATCCATGCTGGTCGCAAACGCAATACGTTGGTTTTATTGTGACGCGGCTCATATTGTTTATCATAGATTAGGTTCTGATTTATACTGATGATAATCAATGTAACAAAGCTTTCACACTATAGTAATACATACATATAATGACTCACTTTTTGGAAAAATTTCGTAAAATTTTCTCAGTGTACAAATTATATGTACTTGCCTTATATGTACACATATATTAAATGATCATCAGTGTTTCTGGAAGGTTTAAAAATAAGCTTCCTCTATGAAACCATTCAATTCATATTTCATAATCATATTTGAGTGAAATATGTTTTAAATTTATTTTATGTGAGCCAGTGAATGGTCTTACATGCTTTAAGGTATTATATCCATCAATGCATTCTATTGATTTTTCAATGTACCCTTAGTTGTGAGAAGAGTAAATGGTCTAGTTGACAATGTGTCTACCTATAAACAGAGGAATTGTGTTGTTTTTTTCTAGCCATACCGGGATCATAATGTTTGCTGATATAACTTAAGTAGATTAGTTCAAGGATACTGAATCATGCATTAGTCAGTTCAAATAAGCTAGGAATGGACGGCCTAGCCGAGTGGTTAATAATTAGGGATTTCTAGCTGTGTGTGGTCAAACCCCCTGTCTGGGGCAAGCCTTTGTTTCCTTGAGCAAGAAATAAAACACTCATTTGTTAGCAGGAACAGATTTAAGGGTATGTCTATAAACTTACTGCTTCCTATACAACCAAACTAAAGTAAGTTTTGTATAAACTGAATAGGCTTTATGATTACATCCAAATCAAGCTACATTAAATAATAAACTTAACTATGTCACTTTGAGTATGTAAGCTAAGTTTGAAAAGCATTTAGTTGACAAGATTGTTTTCAGCCCCTTGTCGTTTAGATGCTTTTTGAAATGTTCAAAATACACAAAAAAAGTGTTGAAATATGTTGAATTTATCTCAAACTTTGATGGATTTATTACCTTAATAAATGTACTTGATCAATTGATTGGTAATTAGAAAGAAACATCGATGCTTGTACAATAATTAAGATGTTTAGTTACATATACTGACAGTTTATGAATATATTCAGTCTTATTTGAACTTTGTCAATTTTTTTTTAAAAATTGGGAAAAAAAATGAGACTTAACTTTTTTTAAATGAATTTGATGGAAACAACAGCAAGTTATGTCTCATTTATTTATTCATGATAAATTGATTTCAGTATTATGCTTAGTACATGATAGTGTTTTAAGTGATCTTTACGGCAGTGATATAAAATGCTTATTTAAAGTTTTAATGAGAAGCAAGGCTGTTCTTTTTTGATGTTATAATATTGAATTTATTTAATATCTGTCAGTATTATCAGTACAAACCAACTAGTATATTAAACAATACAGCAACTGCAGGGGCGGCAAAATCACTTGTCCATATTGTCCAGTTTGTTCTACAACCTGTTCATAGACAAGTGAAGTTTTTTTCCCCAGAATTTACTTTATAGATATCCTGCAGACAAGTAAAGAAATGATTTAGATATAACAGAAAAGCAGGTGGAAATCAGATTTTGCCACGCCTATAGTTATAGAGTAAAAAGTACATTGTAACATGATCATTATTAAATTTTGTTCTTGAATTACGCTGAGAGTTTTGTGGTGCCCTCTAGGGTCTTATAGGAGTTGCCATTTCACATGGACTTCAATTAAACATGTGTCAGGGCGGAAGAAATACTTTAAAGCGAGTTTTCGCCAACTTGATACCGTTTCTGAGACAAGTTTAATGAATGATCATAAGAAATGACAATGAAAATAAGATTTATTTCAATCACATGATATTGTAAAGCTAAATTGATATCCTAAGCATCAAAATGATCGTTTGATAGGACAGTCTTTAAATGAGGACATCGACCTTTGACGTAATATAGGAATGATGATTTCATAATGTTTTAAAATAAACTTTAGGCACCCTGCAGATGATTTGCTAGGGAGTTTTGATTCTTTCATATGAGGAAGCTATCCAACTAGCTTATGGAATGTTTGTGGTTATTATATTCAGGTGCCTGTTTCTGACTGAAATATTGCATGGAGATGCATTTGAGGTCTTTCTCCACCAGTAAAGCTGGAAAGTCACCATATGACCTATACTGTGTTGGTGTGACATAAAATCCAACAAACAAAAAAGAATGATGTTTTTTTTCACAGGCTAGGGAAGCAGCCCTTTATATTTTTTTTGGGAAAATAATATGTTGTTTTTATAAAAGGGGAAGAAAAAACTTAATGCCAATTCAATATTGGGGAAAAATGCATGATTTTTAAGAATTTTTCTTTTGGGGAAGATGGCCTTAAACGGCCATTGCCATAGAAGGAAAATAAGCATTGAATGTTGATATTCATCAAAAGGAAACAATATCATGTGATTGATGATGATGATGACTATGCCTTTACTATGCTTGTAAGAGAATGATGATTTGCAGTGTAACTAATATTGTTCTAACAATTTGTACTTAGCAGGCCCCGGCAGCCTCAATGCCGTCACATCTTTATACGTACTCCTCCTCTAGCCCACAACTTGCCACAACTGCTACAGCCGATAGCACTCCACCCCCGGTAAATATATCTTATATATTCATCACAAGTTCTTAGCTTATTAGTAAGTTGTCACCACAGCGTCATATCTGGTGTATGTATTTTGTGTTCGTATTGTAATGTCTTTGTTAAGAGAGGCCATGACAAGGTATAGAAAATTTTTCATTGCAACCTTTTATCAAAGGAATGTTGCCTTAAGCCTTAGTTTGATATGCCAACTCCGGGTAAAGTTCCATGATGCCAACTCGGGTAATATTCAATATTCTGCCAGAACACAAATTTTCCCTATTGAACATAGGAGAACCGAAAGTGTGTTATTATGCAATAAAATCACTGTTTAATGTTCTATATTTAGATACATGACATAATCACTATTCATGTGACGTAACCACTAAAAATGTGACGCGCTAAAAATAAGTACGGAAACAAGTAGGGCGCAATTTAGCTTAATATCAGGTAAGGAAGCATTTGTTTGTTGTTAGAATCGAAATAATACATCCAAATTGGTGATTTTATTGCTTGATAATGCAATGGAATGACAGATTTCAAGGTAACCTTATGCTTAGGTATTGCAACAATATTCAGGTGCAAGAGGGATTATTGTTCCATGAGGTAATTTAGTCTTGTTTTCTTTCTTCTGTACCCTTTGGAGCATTAATAAAATAAACAAAATCAAGGGAGACCAGGCACATTCAGGTGATGTATTTAAAGATATATTTATATTGAATTGTTATCGAGCCATCTGGCAAAACAGTCTTTCAAAATATTTTGGCATAACCCATTTATTCTAAATAGTGACTGATGTTAAAAAAACACCTGATTTTTAAAAGGCAGCATTTCTGTATAGAGTTGTTCTTGTAAGACAACAGACATAGTTACATCATTTGTATTATGTACAGAGTGCAGTGATTAAAGCATGGCTTGATATAAGATAATATACTAAGAATAACATTAGAAATTTAACATAGTACACTTAGAAATTAGAAATGTTAACTTCCTTTAACAGATTTGATTAGAATAGAACTTCTTTTACTGACATAATTATAATAAAATATATACTCACTAAGTTATTCTTCACATAAGTGTATGTAGACCCTTATATAACTGTCCTTTTAGAGAAATCATTTATGATGCAGTGTTCACAGTTTTTGTTTTGTGAGGTTTTACAATATTTGTGGTAAAAGTTTATACAACATGTAAGTTTTGTCACGTTGCAGCAGTACAGTAGGGATGACAGTTCTATAAAAGATGACAGTGTACAAATAGTATGTGAAACCAGTCCTCCCAACACGCCCAGGTCTCTACGTCTCGAGCGTCTACAAACTGCGCTGTCACAGAGTGCCGAGGGTAGTCCTAGGTTTGTATGTTTTATATCTGTTCATAACCATGTCTAATTCTGTTCATAACCATGTCTAAATCTGTTCATAACCATGTCTAATTCTGTTCATAATTATGTCTATAACTGTTCATAACCATGTCTAATTCTGTTCATAACCATGTCTAATTCTGTTAATAACCATCTCTTATTCTGTTCATAACCATCTCTTATTCTGTTCATAACCATGTCTAATTCTGTTCATAACCATGTCTTATTCTGTTCATAACCTTGTCTTATTCTGTTCATAACCTTGTCTAATTCTGTTCATAACCTTGTCTAATTCTGTTCATAACCTTGTCTAATTCTGTTCATAACCATGTCTAATTCTGTTCATAACCATGTCTAATTCTGTTCATAACCTTGTCTAATTCTGTTCATAACCTTGTCTAATTCTGTTCATAACCATGTCTAATTCTGTTCATAACCATGTCTTATTCTGTTCATAACCTTGTCTTATTCTGTTCATAACCTTGTCTAATTCTGTTCATAACCATGTCTAATTCTGTTCATAACCTTGTCTAATTGGGGCCCTATGTCGACAAAATAGTTATAATCCAGTTAAGGGTCTTCAAATTATTTTTTGACAACCATGTGAAGTTGGGTAATCAAACTTGAAATCTGGCTTTATTTGCCTGATTGGTTAATCTAAAATGCATGCCTCCAGATTCATGCTAATTTCATGGAAATTTTGAAAATGTTTTTAAAAGTAATATACTGTTAAAGGAACAAAAAAAAGTAAATTACATATTGCAAATGGCACTTACCAGCCATGTAAATTACCAAAAAGATGTGAAATATGGGAAAAAAGGCGGAGCTAACAAGTGAGAGACAGTTGTAAGACAAGGGGCTTAATTCTGAAAGCTATATTTTTGGAGTTATGTCCCTTTTTAACTTAGAATTTTTGTCAAAAGTGGTTATTTTAACAGATGAGCGTTAACACTGTAGGCCCTATGCGGTGCTCTTGTATTAAACTAAGATATATTGTGAATATCTCATTTTATGATTACAGTCGAACTGTTATAGACACAACCAGTAGTACTTTATCCAGCACGGCCAGTAGTCAAGATTCTCTACATAAACATCAAAAGAAGAAAGGAATTAAAAGTTCTATAGGAAGATTGTTTAGTAAAAAGGAAAAACAGAAACAGAAAGGTGCATTAGGGAGAGACATGCCAGCTGGTAACTATTTCTGTCCTATCTTAAAACTAACATTATCAGGATTATTTTTTAATCAGGAATTTTAATTATTTCTAAAATCAGGATTTTAGATTTTTTCTTAAATTGAGATTTGGGATTATTTTTTAAATCAGAATTTTTGATTATTACTTTTAGGCCGTAAAATACAAATGTATACAAGTCAGACAAATAGAGGATATTGAATTTGAATAAAGTTATAATATGGAAGCCTTTTACAAGCATGATATTATTTTTATTATTCAACAAGTTCAATTAATTCAGTATTGAAATTACACAAAAATAAAGAGTGAAAAAGAGTGATTTTTCAATGACTCGCCTAAAGCGTAATGCTAACATTTAGCGCGTCTTTACACTATGTTTGTATAACGCAAATGACATCATGTCAAAATAAATGCACGGCCATGCAATACCATTTTTACGGAGTAGCAAAATTGTCACGGGTATGTGATAAAATGGCTAAATACATGATTGTCATGATTATTTTAGAAAACCCTAACCCTGTTATTGTACAAAGCACAGGTTAAACTTTTATTGTACTGTTTATAGGAGCAGGTTATATAGATGCTGGTGAGGGCGCTACAGATACTCTAGGCCGGGGACTTGGGCAATCAGAATTTGATAGGAGAAAGAAACGAAAGTAAGTTCACTTCAGTACATTGTTTACTTTGCTTTTGATTTGTTTGAAAGTGATGGTTTTGCATGAAGCCAAGTTTTACAAGTTTTAGTGAAAAAGGTAGTCATTTCCTTTTCCATTTCACAATCACTGTTGTGAATTTTAATTGAACTGGGGATAGTGAATTCTGCTATCCAACTTACTTAAAGAAGGTTAAAAGGGGGCGTCCATGGCCAAGTGGTAAGGTTGTTGACTTCAAATCACTTGCCCTCCCTCCCCTATTGTTCAGGGTTCGAATCCTGACATGTGAGGAAGCTATCCAGCTAGCTTCGAAATGTTGGTGGTTCTACAAGGGTGCCAGTTCAGGTCTAAAATAATGCATGGAACGGCACCTGAGATCATCCTCCACCAGTAAAGCCGGAAAGCTTCCATATGATCTATACTGTTTTTGATACCACATAAACCCCCCCCCCCCCCCCCCCCCCCCCCCCCCCAAAAAAAAAAAAAAAAAATTGACTGTCATCAGATCTACCATAATATGCCAGAAGTAGTAAAAAGAAACAGGCCCTTGTGATCTGCTTTTAACAATAAAGGTTAAATATGGCTATATGATCTTATGTGTTTGATTTGTTCATATAATGTATTGCAGAGAGGAATTACTAGAGGAAGCTATGAAGGCAGGAACACCATTTGCTCTCTGGAACGGTCCAACTGTTGTTGCCTGGCTAGAGGTACGGTGTTATAATTATCTTCTTTACCCCTTTGTTTATATAAACATCTTTATTTTATGAAAGTTTTATAATCTCAAAAGTTATAAAATGTAGTTGAAATAGAATTTGTTCATTGCAAGCTTGAAATCCTTACCTGGTTTGGTTAAGCTAGTGAATTAGAATAAAGTACAAGCACAAATTTGATGTTTATATCTCTACCTTGGTTATGTTTACATTTTTCTAAAATCTTGTTTAGTTTAATTTTCAAGTTATTAATGATCATATATGTTTAATAAATCAATATGTTCCACAAGCTTTATAGGCAAGGGATGCAAATGTTGAAAAATTGAGAAAAAAAATAAATGTTTAAATGGTATCATATGAATTGTAGAAATGAGCAAATGTTCTACCTTGCCAATTAGTCCAATATGTTGATTTGAAAAATCTAGAAAAATTCTTACAGTAGATTTACTGTCATGTTTGTTAATAACTTATACAGAACATAAATAATTTCAGCTGTGGGTTGGAATGCCAGCATGGTATGTAGCAGCGTGTAGAGCGAACGTTAAGTCCGGTGCAATTATGTCTGCGTTATCAGACCAAGAGATTCAGCGCGAGATAGGCATTAGCAATCCACTTCACCGTCTCAAACTTCGCCTAGCCATTCAGGAAATGGTCTGTCTCACCAGCCCCTCAGCTCCAAGAACTTCTCAGGATGTAAGGATATTTTAAGATTTTGTGTGCGATTTTGTGAAGTTTTTTCGGAGCGAAATTGAGTTTCAAAAACCTAAAAACCGTAAAGGTTTGAAATTATGGGATAGATCAGCCTGGGAACTTAAAACATAAAAATATATGTAGCTAATGATATTTGAAAAATCTTGAAATTGAAAATCTTTTAGTTTGTGTGATCCTTAGCCATATTTGATTTGAAGGCATTTACATGCATGTCAATTTATGGTTGTTTTTCTCAATTAGCATGATAATATCTGGAAAAAAAAAGGGTGAGTGAATAAACCAGGGCACAAGAAAAAAATAAATAAGTTATTCCCTAGAATTCTATTCTGTGAACAGATATAGATTTGTATTTTGATTTGTACATAGTACATGCTGGTACACAATTTTGTAAGACAATTCTAAATAGGATTTCTATACAAATTTATTTATAATGAACTATTAACATACCTTTACCTTAAAGCTGTATGCAGATTCATGCTAATTTTTATGAAAATTTCAAAAATGTATTTAAAAGTAAAATGCTGTGAAGTGAACAAACAAAGTAATGCACACATTGCAAACAGCACTAATAATCCATCTAAATTACCAAAAAGAGGTCAAAAGAGGTCTGGATCCATGCTGGTCGCAAACCCATTATGTTGGTTTTGTCGTGACGCGGTTCAAATACAATGTTAATTCATATAAAAAGATATCATATTTTATTATTTCAGTCTCTAGCATTTGGTGACATGAATCATGAGTGGATTGGCAATGAGTGGTTGCCTAACCTAGGTCTACCTCAGTATAGGAGTCATTTCATGGAATGTCTTGTAGATGCTAGAATGTTAGACCATTTAACTAAAAAAGACTTACGAGGGCAATTAAAAATGGTGGATAGCTTTCATAGGTTTGTATAGAATGAATTATACATTGTAATAAAAATAATAAATAATTGTTGATTTTTTTTTCCCCTGCAATAATTTTGAATCAGCGATGATATATATTTTGAATCCCCTCTCATATGATGGTAAAAGGGCTCAAATCCACAAACCCCATGGCCTCTGCTTCTCTCTAAAAGCTGATTAACAGGTATTGATAATGATAGTTAGGAAATGTTCTGCCCCATGTGGCTTAGGGGTGGCTTTTATGAGTTGAAACATCAGATTGAACCCTGTGTAACCTTTTGTGATCGTTAGAAGCGACTAAATGGGTTTGAATTTTTAAAGTCTATGCATATCTTAGCTCCAGCAGGTGAGTTTTGACCCCTTGTGTAGCTTAAAGTTTGTAACACCCGAGGTTAGCCAAAATATTTTTTCCTGTGTTGATGCCACATGACCTTAACTGTGTTGGTGTGCCGTAAATCCAAACCAAACAAAGTAAACAAAAAAAAAAGTGATCTGTTATTTATTCACATAATTTAAGATTTAATCTTGTAATTTCAGGACCAGTTTGCAATATGGTATAAATTGTTTAAAACGAGTTAATTATGATAAAAAGGAATTGGAAAGTAGGCGAGAGAAAACTGCAGAAGAAAATACAGGTAAATATTTATTACTTCTATCTAACGAAACTTACCTTTTTGCATAATGGTTCTAGTTTTTGTCTCATCTATATTGTTCTAGAATTAAAGCCATTTCAAGAACATAATTATTATAACTTATATACTGTGAGTTCACTTAACTATGTGGCCATGAAATTTCATGGTTTTGTCACAAAGGATGCCCGTTCGTGCCTGAAATAATGCACGGAAGGGCACCTGAGGTCTTCCTCCACCAGTAAAGCTGGAACGTCGCAATATGACCTAAACTGTGTCGATGTGACGTAAAACCCAAAACAAACAAACAAACAAATTGTCACAAAGGACATTTTCATCAGAAAGAAGTTTGCTGTAGTTATTTACATATATACATTTTTCTCCCCTTTAATTTCAGATGTGTTAGTGTGGACCAATGAAAGAATTACAAAATGGGTAATATGTATAGGGCTAAGAGATTATGCAAATAATCTGCACGAATCTGGCGTACATGGGGCGCTTATTGCACTAGACGAAAGCTTTGATCATAATAGTATGGCTTTAGCATTACAAATACCAACACAAAACACAACTGTAAGTGTTAAGAAGCTTTATATTACCGTATTATGTAAATGTTGTTTTTTTTGGTTAACTTTTTATACTTGACCTTTAACCTTCTGGAACCGAAACTGATTAGCTGTTACCACCAGTATAGAGCTAGCCCAGCCTGTGTGTCTTCACTGTCTGACTAGGCTCCATACTGTGAGAAGCTCAATTTTTAGCTTGACTATTCGAAGAATAAGTAGAGCTATCCTAGTACCCCAAGTGTCAGCGTCGGCATAACCACTTATGTTAAAGTTTGCGTACCACTTCAAATATTGTCATATTTCATTGACATCTTGATTTGAAACTTAGCACACTTGTTCACCATTATGCCCCCAACCTGCACACAGGAGGAGGTAACTTTATCAAGCATTTCCCTGTATGACTTTACACTCTTGTTTGAGAGCAAAATAGGTTACTCTTCAAGGCCTATAACTGTAACATGGGTTTGGCAAATTGGGTCTTTTTTGTGTCGCCTCTACGGAGTAGTGGCGACATAGGGATCACTTCTCCGTCGTCTGTCTGTCTGTCTGTCCGTCACAAAACTTGTCCGGACTACTCCTCATAAACTACTGGTGCAATTTCATCCAAACTTTAAAGGAATGATCAGTACCAAGTCTAGTTGTGCATATTGTCAGCATTTTCCGGTTCAATGATTTTTGTCAGAGTTATGGCCCTTTACTAATTTTTATTTTTAAAGTTTGTCTGGACTACTTCTCTTATTCCATTAATGCAATTTCAATGAAACTTTACAGGATTGATCTGTAGCTCAAGTCCTTGCGCATATTGCACGGGTTTTTCGGTTGAATGACTTTTGGCTGAGTTATGGCCCTTTGATAAAAAGGTGTTTTTTTCTGTGTGTTGCCAGATACACAAAAGCTTGTCCGGACTACTCCTGATAAACTACTGGTGCAATTTCATCCAAACTTTACAGGAATGATCAGTACTAGGTCTAGTTGTGCACTGTCCGTCTGTCTGTCCGTCCTTCTGTCACAAAACTTGTCCCAACATGAAATTGGCCATCATGAGGCGACACATGTGATCACTGATCGCTCTTGTTTAACTTTTTAGCTCACCTGTCACAAAGTGACAGGGTGAGCTTTTGTGATCGCTTTTCGTCCGGCGTCCGTCCGTCGTCCGTCCGTCCGTCCGTCCGTCCGTCCGTCCGTAAACTTTTACTTTAAATGACATCTCCTCATAAACCACTAAGCCAATTTCATCCAAACTTCACAGGAATGTTCCTTTGGTGGTCACCATTAAAAATTGTTCAAAGAATTTAATTCCATGCAGAACTCTGGTTGCCATGGCAACCGAAAGAAAAACTTTAAATATCTTCTTTTAAAAAACCCTAAGAGCTAGAGCTTAGATATTTGGCATGAAACATCTTCTAATGAGTGTCTACCAAGTTTGTTCAAATAAAAGCCCTGGGGTCAAAATTGGCCACGCCCCAGGGGGTCTTTGATTTTCCCTATATGCATATAGTAAAAACTTAAAAAGTCTTCTTTTAAAGAACCCAAAGAGCTAGGGCTAAGATATTTAGCATGAAACATCTTCTAATGAGTGTCTACCAAGTTTGTTCAAATAAAGGCCCTGGGGTAAAAATTGGCCCCGCCCCAGGGGGTCATTGATTTTCCCTATATGCATATAGTAAAAACTTAAAAAGTCTTCTTTTAAAGAACTCAAAGAGCTTGAGCTAAGATCTTTAGCATGAAACATCTTCTAGTGAGTGTCTACCAAGTTTGTTCAAATAAAAGCCCTTGGGTCAAAATTGGCCCCGCCCCAGGGGGTCTTTGATTTTCCCTATATGCATATAGTAAAAACTTAAAATATCTTCTTTTAAAGAACCCAAAGAGCTAGGGCTAAGATATTTAGCATGAAATTTCTCTTAATGAGTGTCTACCAAGTTTGTTCAAATGAAAGCCCTGGGGTAAAAATTGGCCCAGCCCCAGGGGGTCATTGATTTTCTCTATATGCATATAGTAAAAACTTAAAAAATCTTCTTTTAAAGAACTCAAAGAGCTAGAGCTAAGATATTTAGCATGAAACATCTTCTAATTGGTGTCTACAAAGTTTGTTCAAATAAAAGCCCTGGGGTCAAAATTGGCCCGGCCCGGGGGTCCTTGATTTTCCTTATAATTATGTGTATAGCAAAAAGTTAAAAAATCTTCTTTGAAAAAACCCAAATAGCTGGAGTTTAGATATTAAGCATGAAACATCTTCTTGTGAGTGTCTACAAAGTTTGTTCAAATAAAAGTTCTGGAGTCAAAATTGGTCCCGCCCCGGGTGTTATTGATTTTCCTTATATTTGTACAGCAAAAACTTAAAAATCTTCTTTGAAAAAACCCAAATAGCTAGAGTTTAGATATTAAGCATGAAACATCTTCTAGTAATTGTCGACAAAGTTTGTTCAAATAAAAGCCCTTGGGTCAAATTGGCCCCGCCCCAGGGGTGTCATTGGTTTAAACTATATGTGTATAGAAAAAACTTAAAAAATCTTCTTTTAAAAAAAAACCAATGAGCTAGAGCTTAGATGTTTAGCATGAAACATCTTCCTATGGGTGTCTACCAAGTTTGTTCAAATAAAAGCCCTGGGGTTAAAATTGGCCCTGCCAGAGGGGGGGGGGGTATGGAAGGAGGGGGTAGATTGTTGTTTTTCATTATATGTGTGTAGTAAAAACTTAACATCGTGAAATATCTTCTAATGGGTGTCTTCCAAGTTTGTTCAAATAAAAGCCCTGGGGTTTAAACTGGCCCCGCTCCGGGTGCCTTTATACAGGTGAGCGACCTCAGGGCCATCATGGCCCTCTTGTTACATTAACAAGGCTCTTTTACTTTTAACGAGGCTCTTTTACTATCAAGCACTGAGAATAGTCGAGTCTGCCTGCTTCGCTACCGACAGTTCTTGTTAGGTAACCCAGGCATCAGTGTTGCCATCTCACTCTTTTAGCATGCAAGTTGGTTTTTTTCAAAACTACTTAAGGGAATGGGATGGAACTTCACACACTTATTTGATAGCATAATAGGAATTCACTGTCCAAGGTCCACAACTCTCACAGGGATTTAGACAAAATTATTGCCCTTTTTTAAGATAAAAAATTCTATATTATCCAGACACTTGTTTTACCATCAAGCACTTAGAATAGTGGAGCATGCTGTCCTACTGACATCTCTTGTTGAATCTTAATATTGAACTTCCTTTTAATTTGAATGAACCATTCCGAATGAACCATTCTGAATTAAAAATAGGGTAAATCCATTGTACAAATTCAGGAGGTTAAAGGGTGCCTATTTTATGTTTTTCTTGAACAGAAATACAGAATAAAACATTTAAAGCAAATATTACTTCTATTGACTGTGCTTTCTATTTAGAAGTCAGTATTTTGGTTCATTGTCCAATTTTTTTTGGTCTTTTTCCTTATTTCATTCATGTACAATCAAAAGAAATCCATATGTAAATTCATTTTAGCATCTGAGTGCATATTTTAATGTAACTTTCTACCTCTGTATTTCAGATACGCTCAACGTTAGAGCGGGAATTTAACAATTTACTAGCCAGTGGTACGGACAGACGGTTGGACGAGGTAGGTCTGTATTGTTTTTATTTATTTTTTTCTTGTGCCCTGGCTTTGCAGTGCTTGGTTGCGGAACTTTTATTCAGTGTATCAGCCCTGTATTGGTGAGTTAACAAAAACAGCCTGTGACTTCACAACACTATTCTTGTCTGAAAACTTCGGAACATAGTTGTAGTAATAATAAATTGAGCCGTGTCATGACAAAACCAACATAGTGGGTTTGCGACCAGCATGGATCCAGACCAGCCTGCGCATCCGCGCAGTCTGATCAGGATCCATGCTGTTCGCTATCAGTTTCGGTACTTGTAATAGGGTTTATAAGCGAACAGCATGGATCCTGATCAGACTGCGCGGATGCGCAGGCTGGTCTGGATCCATGCTGGTCGCAAACGCACTATGTTGGTTTTGTCATGACACGGCTCGTATAATGTTTAAAGTTATATATTTAGATAACTTGTCCCTCGCTACTTTGAAGTTTAAGATGGCATGTGCCGGTATTTATTTGAAGCTTCACCATTGGTTATTTGCCGCTGTGTAATGTGTTTGATTTTCAACCTCTCTTGGTAATGAATTGTTACAGTTCTTAAAAATATCATATTCTGTTCTATCTTTTGTCTTGTACTCTCTGAATGAATTACAAAGAATTTAGTTGGTCAGCAGTGTCTAAAATCAAGATATTGATGAAAGCATTTTAATATTTTTAAAAAGAATTGCAAAAATCTAAATTCAGAAAATATGATTTTGTTTTTTGGTTGGGGTTCATAGCAGACTACCTGTCATATGAGAATAATGAAAATAAAAATGATGATTGTTAAAATGAAGTGTTTTGGAGTCACAGTGAGCTTATTTAACCAGAATGATACAATGTCACATTGTACCTTCACTTCAAGACCTACCTTTTATCCCCACACTCTCACATTGCACCTATACTTTACCCTTCACTCCCCCATAGTACACACATCTTGATTACATTTTCTCACAATACACATATATCTTACCTTTACTTTTTCCCCACAATGCCCACATCTGAATTACATGTTGTCACATTGCACTTATACTTTGCCCCCACAATCCCCACATCTGAATTACATGTTGTCACATTGCACCTATACTTTGCCCCCACAATCCCCACATCTGAATTACATGTTGTCACATTGCACTTATACTTTGTCCCCACAATCCCCACATCTGAAATACATGTTGTCACATTGCACCTTTACTTTGCCCCCACAATCCCCCACATCTATATTACATGTTGTCATGTTACACTCTTACTTTTCTATTCAACCCCTCTTTCACAATCCCCACATCTGAATTACATGTTGTCACATTGCATCTATACAAAAAATGTATACCCTTACAATGCCCACATTTAGATTCCACATTCTCTCCTTGCATCTATATATATAAATCTTTACGCACCCACACTGTCCATATCTGAAATTCACTTTTTATATGGAGAGTCATCATAACAAATATTTCATTTCATAAAAAAGCAGTTTTCGTAGCGAAAGTTGTTTCTTTATTCAAGGACTTTACTTTTTATTATTACATTTCAGTCAGAATTTCTCATTTTCCAACATGTCACCCAACCCCTCTGAAGAGGCACTGCTCTTATATTTCACATTATCCCCATTTATTATTGCCCTTGGTGGTGTTGTCATATTTCCAGGCATGAGACTTATTACCTGTAAATATTCTAGATATTTGGAAAATTAAACATTGAATTTTATAAGTTAAATATGTACGAAACAATTAAAGTTTCCATTTATTGATATATTATTTAAAAATTTGATGAAAATGAGAAATGAATTTCCATGAATGTAATGATGGACAGTTTTTTAATTCATTTAAGTCCTTTGAAAATTTAAGGCTGCCTAAAGGTTAAAAACTAGGACACTTCTATTTTGGTTTCAAAATGTTGAAGAGTTAATTATATAATCTCTATTTCGAAGATAGCCAAGAAAACTTAAGGGGATAAGAAGACAAACGAGGAAGAATTTGCAAGTGTACCTCACTTTTATATCCCCAATTTTACCAATTATTTTAGTAAATTGCAATACCACCTGTACAGAGCAACCCCCTTTTTTGGAGACACATATTTTGGTCATTGCTGAGAGGTGTTGCTCTATGAGAGGTTCAGTTAATTGTGAAGTTTTTTTTTCTTTTTAGGAAGAATTGATTGGGGTTATTGCTCTGCAGAGGTCCTAACTGTAGAGGTTACATTGTATAATAAAAAGAAAACCCAAAGAAATTAAAATAAAACCAAAGAAATTAAAATAAAACCAAAGAGATTGAAATAAAACCAAAGAAATTAAAATAAAACCAAAGAAATTGAAATAATACCAAAGAAATTATGCTAAGAAGTCTCATGCTTGGAATTTTAAATATTGTACTATAATTATATTGTATATACATTAACCCACAACTTACTAACACCACTGTAAAAAACAGCTGATTTAATAAACTATATACTTAATTAATATTATATAATTGAGCCATGTCATGACAAAACCAACGTAATGCATTTGCGACCAGCATGGATCCAGACCAGCCTGCACGTCCACGCAGTCTGATCAGGATCCATGCTGTTCGCTATCAGTTTCTCTACTTGTTATAGGGTTTGTAAGCGAACAGCATGGATCCTGATCAGACTGCGCGGATCCATGCTGGTGCAAACCCATTATGTTAGTTTTGTCATGACACGGCTCATATATTAAACACTTGCTTAATTTACTCATTTAATCATGGTGAAATGTCATTGAATTATTTCAACTTTAATTATACTCACAGATCAGCAGCTTCTCATACATACGACCAACTTTTCATAATCTTGATATATAATTTGCTTTCAAGCTAGGCATGCGCATTTTCTAAAATAAATCTACTTATAATTAATTACTTTAAATTATTAATGTAACATTATAACTTTCTACTAGGTGATTTTACTTTTGTTTTCCTTAAAATACAGCCAAACTTGCATTTAGAGACTATAAGATTTTGCAGGGAGTTGTATTTATTAATGGCTGAATGGTAAATGTCAATTTGAATCATTAACCATCTTCTCTCAATGGGTTTGAATCTAACATAGGATGTTGCTTGAAGATTATTTCCTGATATTTTTGTCTTTCAATTTCATTCCTATATGAAATAACTTCAGTCTAACTTAAGTTCATATCTACTTGAGTTATTTCTTGCATGTAGATCTGATTGCTGCCTTCATTGTGATTTGGATTTCCTAAGAAAGCTATTTATAGAAATGCAATTAAACCGTCCTTTACAGATAGGCATTTAATACAAAATATTGTTGTCCTTGGAAGAAAAACAAATTGTTGACTTTTGTTAGAAAAAAAATGTTTTAAGTTATTGGAACAAAGTGGAAATAATAGATTTCAGTTTTTAATGGGAAAGATTATTTTACCAGTTTACTTGCCGACTAAATGGACATCGTCCTTTGTCCTTTAAATCGTGAAAATTACCTACTCAGTATTGGTTTTCAGTGGTTAAAATTAGAAACAGCATCGTTTTCAAAATTGTGACAGCTCGCTGATGATTGACTATTTAAAAGGTCACAAGAAGGTGACAGCCTATTGGTGGCCGTCAGATCCTTAATATGCATTGGGTTAATTATGTGCTGATGTTAATCAGATTAAAATAACTTCAAATATCTTACATTCTGCCTCTGTGCTTTTGAAATATGCCTGGGAGATTTCGTCCTTTATGTTAGGAAATATTAGGGTGAGCATCAGATAAGTAATCCAGGAATTGTTGGTTCTATATTTCTTTGGTGAGACAAAATTTCTCCTGGAAATTAATCTGGGACATTCATGAGTCTTATGGTCATTTGTCTCTTACGGCTGATTCAGAAATCATGTCGGATTAGTAGTTGGTCACTTGAAGAGAAACGGGTCATTACTTGTTAGTTAATCAGGAAAGATGCTTAGATGGTATGACAGACAAGATATGGCAAAATATTATATTAAAATGGGCGTAAAACCGAGAAAAACAAAAACAATTTTAAATATTTGCGTTCTTACTCAGGCTCTCACTCATACATTAACTAATGCATGATAGGGTGTCTTGGGACTTCCCCTACCAGTAAAGCCTGGTTGTTGCTTTGTACCATTAAGATGGTAAACTCTGTAGCAAGTTTGATTGTATTTTAAGAATTGCTTTGAAACAAATAAATATGATTGAGCTAGTTAAAATAGAGAAGAATTTTTTTAATTTCTTAGCAGATTGAACTTATTCAAGTAATGGTGACATATATATTGTTGATAATGTTTGAATTTTGGAATGCTCTATTATTTAATTTAGGGCGAAGGCGGAAAATTCCGGCGGGCACCCTCGTGGCGTAAGAAATTCCGTAATAAGGACAAGAGTAAAGACGGGAGTGAGGATGGTGAGGGTGGGGCTGAACCTGGGCAGGAGTCACCTCCGGGGCCACGGAGAGCTGCCTCCGTGGGTCCTGGCTCAGCACTTCAACAGCGTACAACTGAAACCATGAGAAACTGCTAGCCCGTACTGCATATTTAGGTCTTTGCCAATTTAAAAGTCAAGTTTTTTTTAACTTGGAAAACCGCGCTTTGCACGAGGATGAAGTTGTCACTGCCGTTCGAGTGGGCCTCGGAAACAAAAAGCCTGCAATAAGAAATATAAAAAACAAACTACAAGTGTATTCAGCAATTTGTGGTGTGTCAATGTATTGGAGATGTGCATTTTGTACACTCAAATTTTTATATAGTGAAGCAATCTGAACATTTACTGTCATCATCACACGTGTTTTTTTTGTTTCTTAATGACAGATTTTTCGTGTGTGTTCTCTAGTTGATGTAGATGTCAGATTTCTTTTCAGAGCCATATAAACTTGTCAGAATGTGAATCTAGAATTATTGACTTTAGTATTTATTATCAATATAAAAATTACTGGCCGCCTCACTTTTGTTGACAGATTTCTTGTTGAAACAGTTAATGTTACCAAGGGATAGCACTGATAAAAGACAATAATGAAATTCATTGAAATTTTATTTAACTTTAACTTAATCTTTAAAAGTAAAAATATATAGATGTCAAAAATATTTACTGTATATTCAAAGAATATGCATACAAGATATAATTTCCATGACTAGGAGCCTTGTGATTAAAAGCTGATGTGTTAAAAGTTGAATCTGGGGTCTTTCTATAGGTATTTTAAGAATTTTACTATTTCTTTAATACTGAGATTGACTCTCTGAATGTTATGAATAAAATGAGCCGCGTCACAACAAAACCAACATAATGGGTTTGCGACCAGCATTTGATCCAGACCAGCCTGGCATGCGTGCAGTCTGATCAGGATCCATGCTGTTTGCTATCAGTTTCTCTACTTGTAATTGACCAGCATGGATCCTGATCAGACTGCGTGTATGCGCAGGCTGGTCTGGATCCATGCTGGTCGCAAAAAACGCATTACGTTGGTTTGTCGTGACGTGGCTCATATTAAACAATACTATTTCATCAGTATAGAGCCCAAGTCAGCTGTATATCCAGGCAGTTTGACCAGGGTCTATACTGTTGATTGTTCAAAATCTTAGTACTTTCTATATTCATTCTAAAACCCCCCTAAAAACTGTCAAAGGGGA